TCCCTACCGTTAAGTAACTTGTGCATTGTTTTACTTGTTTTTGACATATCCGAACGAACTACAAACTTTCCAATGATGTCTGTGAGAAAGATATATTCACTCGACAAGCTCGCGCATCTGCGCCACCGCGCACTCAATCCACTCAGCGTGCTTTGTTTATCAGCTCGCGCACATCAGCTATACAGGCGTTAATACTGAATGTTTAACGTTATATTCATTGCATACATATACTTCGTAGTAGACATCCTTAACGCCATTCTGCTGTCTGTTGTTCTGTTGTCGGTGTTTCTTTGTCTGAATATGGCGCTTATCACATGCTGTGTGGTATCGGCATTTGGTATCGGGGCATTTTAACGAGTACGAGTACAGGAGACCAGTATCGGGCCCGATACCGATACCAGTATCAGTATCGGTGCATCCCTAGTTATTGTTAACTAAAACTATTCAAAATAGCTTTCGTTAACTGAAATAAAGCTGAAATAAAGATAAAAATATATAAATATTAGATCAAAAACTAAGAAAAATGTCAAATTATTGTTTAAAATATTTACATGGCTAAAACTGAAATAAGATTAAATGAAAGCTAAATAGAATTAATAATAATAATAATAATATTAATAAATGAGAAAAGCATGTAAATTCACAAACTTAAACTAAAATTTAAATTAAAATGAAAAATAAAATAATAATAATAAAGCTAACGTAAAAATTAGAGCTAGGCAAGTTAACGCGTTATTATCACGTTAACACATTAATTAACACCAACAATTATTTTATCGCACATTAACGCAGTTTTTATTATTATTATTATTATTTTGAAAGTCCGTTGCTCACTGGCTCTGAATACACATACAAACAAACCATGGGTCACAGGAGGGGTGGGATGTTGATCAGTACTGGTTTGGGATGGGCGTCATCATGCGTCTCAACCAATGAAAGCATTTGGGGTGGGCCTAACACCATGTCTACACCAGAGGTGAGCGGTGCTACAAAATACTATATAACCCATTATAATCAGTGATGCTGTCTACTAGAGGTCGACCGATGTATCGGTTTTGCCGATTAATCGGCACCGATAGTTGATTGCTGGAACTATCGGTTATCGACAAAAATCCATGCCGATAGTTTTCCAGGTTGCGTTCATTGCTGGAGCGGCTGAGAAGGGTCTGCTGTCATTACACAGTGCGAGAGCGGCCTCTAGTGGTTGAAATCTCTTACAGCACATGCTAATTGTTTAGACACGTGATACTGCACGCTGAAAAGAGCGGGAAACTTCAGATGCGGATTTTACTACTACTACTAGTATGGTTCAGTACTGTTTTTGTTAATAAAGCACTATTTTAGTTTTTGTTCAGTATCAATTTTAAAACTATCGGTTAATTAATCGGTATCGGCCAGTGTGGTCCAACCTAGCTATCGGTATCGGCAAAATCCACTATCGGTCGACTTCTACTGTAGTGTTGTCAAAAGACCCGGTATTTCGGTACCACGTCGGTACTAAAAAAATGAAAACGTTACGGTACCAGGTTTTTTTAAGTACCGGTGGTACCGAGTACCCGGTCAACCCAGTTCTTGATGCGCTATCAGAAAGCTATCCTCTTCCAGTGTTGCCAAGTTCGCGGTTTTCCTGCGGAATTGGGCTGCTTAACACTGTTGCCGCGGGTTGTTTTTCATGTCCGCGGGTTCATGTCCCATTTTATCGCGTTGCACCACACGCGTCCGGTGTAGACATGGTGTCAAGACGCACCATCACAAGAACACACAAATTATATGAAAAGGAGGTTTTAATTGATTACATTAATGTAATGTAAAATTATTTTTGTTCATACAGCATTACTTTTAAAATAAAAGTGCACAATACAGTACTGTTGAATTCATTATTGAATTTTGCGCATGATGCGATTAATCACAGAAAAAATAATGCGATTAATCGCGATTAAAAAATTTAATAGTTGCCCAGCACTAATAAAAATAAAATATTAAGAAATATTACTATAGCATATGAACACTACTAAAAAAATTAATTACTGCTAATAATTTAGATTATGATTTATATAATGTTCGAGATGTGTAGGTCTAAATGGATTTTGACTGTTGAGTAGTGCTGGGCGGTATGACCAAAAATTTATATCACGGTATTTTTTTTTTCATGCATGACTGGGTGTTAACCATATTTTCTACTGATTGAGAGAGGAAATACTGCAGTATATTGACTTAGAATGCCCTATTTTACTGTCATGATGAGTGAATATTGTCAAAAAATACCACACTAAATAGTGACTAAACACGACCCCTTTTAATACATGTTAACCAGGAGTCACTCTCATTTATAATCGCCGCTAGAGCCCTGCACGGGCCTCAAATATAGGCCCTAGCCCGGCCCTGGCCCGAGACGCTCAGGCCCGGCCAAGGTCCGACAGCTTATCAGAATTCTTGGCCCGAGTCCGACCCGAGCCCGTCTTTTTTCCCCCTTCTCCCAAAACAGCTTATACTACTGTTTCAGCTCTTAAAATATTTCAGTTTTGTATGTAATGTTAAAGTGATTATATTTCGTTTCGTTTTATTATTAAGTTAATTTAGAAAAACGTTTGGAGCATTTTTTTGTCGTTAAATGTAAGTTTTTGTTTTTTTTAGGATATTGTGGATGAGTTCTTCTGTGTCATCACGTTCTATTAGTTCTACAGCTTCAGTTTCAGAACTTTCACGCTTAGTAACACATACAGCTGTTCCCTCACCACAGTGCAACAGTGAAAAGGGACCCCTTTCAAACAGTGTCGCGTTCCGAACGTTGTTTAAGTGACATACACCGGTATTGCGGTATGAACCGGTATACCGACCAGCACTACTGTTGAGGTTTTAATACTCACTAAATGACAGCTAACCTTCAGTTACGTCTGATTAGCATAAGTGTATGTAGGGATGAAGACACATACCAGGTAGTTGTCATCCTGGAAAGCGTAATGCAGAGTGGTGATCCACTGGCAGTCTCCATTCACCAGGACGTTCCTCTCTTCTCGGAAACAAGCCGTCTACATAAGATGCAAGACGACTTATTACATCAAAACATTCAAAAACAATATTTTGTTATATCCTACACTGTGCTTTGACAACCTTATAAAATAACATTGACACAGCAACCCAGTACCTGAATTTGAAAGCAGATTCCTCTATTTTGGTTTAATACGGAAGAGCTTTGAGTTTCTGTGTGTCTAGGCTTTTTTTTTTTTTTTTTACTATGTCCCTCATTTTCAATTAATTGTGGAGCCATAGTTTTTAGAGATCCAGAATGAATGGGTAACTCATACAATAAATTAAACTGCATCCACCTGCAGTGATGATGTATATGGCTTTCCCATTTCAGATGTTAGTCTTGGATCTTATATCTGTTTGAATTGGGACTCTAGACAAGCGAGGAGGAATAAAAAGAGCCCAGTGAAGCTCAAAGAGGATTACTGACAAGCCCAAGTGACAAAAGTACTCCTGACATGCCTCTGGGAGGCCCGTGGGCACTGTCAGGACTGATCGGGCTGAAACTGGGGCAAGAAAGAGATAGAGTAGAAAGGAAAATGACCTTGCTCTCCTATAGATTTCAGTAGAGAGGGTTTGATTGCAGTCATCGAGCTATTAGGAAGAGGCTTGGTACTGGCTATATGTAAGATATGGGAATATGCTACGGAGACCTAATGGAAAGACCAAGACTAGCAACTCTGGGGTCACTGGTTCTTACAAACAACATGTCTTTAGTTGCCAAATTACAGAATTCATTAAACTCATTAATTGAACTCATTAAAAAGAACCTTTTCATAAGAGTCATTTGTTCGTGATTCATGGCTGACACACTAGTCATATTTGCATTCATCTGATGAAACCATATATAAATGCATATAAAATTCATATTTTTGCTGGCAGCTACTTTTTAAAATGTTAGATTTATTTTCAACACCATTTTAGTTGCAGCCTGAAGCCCTGAAAAATTTAATATATGATAATGAGCCATGAACAGAAATCGGTTTACCTCGGCCCTCTTCAGCATTTCCCACTTGTTCAGGATCTTCATGGCGTAAACACGCTCGGTGTGTTTCATCTTCACCACTGCAACCTAGACAGATGAGATGAGGAGTTAGCCAATGCATACAAACAACATTAAAAGTCAGCATGATTTAGAGGCTGTGTAGGGAATTTGTTTTTTTTATTTTCCTCATTTATTCATCGCATGCTCTTGTGGCCCACTTAAATTGAAACCCCACAGGGAAAGAAACTCTCTGAATGAGATGCTTTTGATCTCTGATGCCTCTGAAAATCAGAAAAAGGAAAAGCTGAGACTTAAGACTGCTGACTTTTTGCCTAAAGAGTGAGATGGCACTGAAGAACCGGTTCATTTAGGCCATAGGTCTGTAGAGCATCAAAAAATGTCAAGGGTGACTAAGGTCTTCCCTGCAGGGGGAGTGACTCAATATTAGGAAAGGGACAGGTTGGAAAGGTGTGTCTTGTTGGATGTTATTCATGTAGGGTGGGGACAGCAAACACCCTGCCTGAAGAAAGACACACCAGTCAGGGAGGAGACGTATGAATGCAGACATAATGCAGTGAGGGACTGTGATATTAGTGACTGACATAAGAAAACAACATAAGATAACTTGTTACCAAGGATCCAAAACCAAACAGACAGGAGCAGTTCATAATGTTTAATGAAACTCTTTTAAAATAATTAGCAATGTGTGTTAGGCTCATGACTCAAAGGAACAGTTCACTCAAAAATGAATTGTACTTTTTTTTTTTATATCACAAACCCATATTACTTTATTTTGTACTTGGAAGACAAAAGAGAATATTTCAAGATTTTTTTGCTCACAATACTTATTTCCACACACTGAATTGTAGTGCCTAAATTGTCGCCAAGCTGTTGTTTGTCCAAAAAATTACTCTCTATGACTCTCAATCCAGACTTAAAATGTTTTTGTCTCTTCTGTTTACCAAGGCTCAGTAATACTGTAAATCAGTAATACTGTGAAAGATTAAAAATTTAAATAACTGTTTTCTTTTTGAATATATTTTTAAATGTCATTTTAAAAAGCTGAATTTTCAGCAGTCATTACGCCAGTCTCAGTTTCACATGATCTTTCAGAAATAATTGTATATGCTGATTTGATGCTTCTTATTATTAATGTTAAAAAGTTAATTTTAATGCTTAACATTTTTTGTGGAAACTGAAATACGTTTGTTTTTAGGATTCTTCATTAATAGAAAGTTCAAAAGAACATAATTTAATTGAAATAGAAATCATCCACAACATAATACAATGGCTTTACTGTCACTTTTGATCAATTTAATGCATTCTTGCTGAACAAAAGTATTATTTTCTTTAAAAAAATTTAAAAAAATCCTTATTGACCCCAAACTTTTGAACAGTAGTTTACATATGGATGGACCAATTTTATTGAGATTTTTTTTTTTTTTTTTAATCCTTTAGGAAGTGTGGCATCCAGTACACAGAACAGAGCTGCATGAACATTCCTCGAAACATCTCCTTTTGAAGAAGTCATATGAGTTTGGAATAGCATAAGAATAAGCTAATTTCTGTGGAAAATAAGCCTTTAAACAGAGCAGGAGCTGTTTGTGAATCTACAATATAAACATCTATGTGAGATTTCATTGTTTCTCCTATGACTTTTAAACATAAAACTCTGTGCGTGACCAATGTTATTCTGCTATCTTCTGTCCACTGGCTACTTGTGACCGTCCAGTCGGCTAATGTTAAGTGGAGTCATGAATTTCCCTGTACTTTGCCTTGCTGCTCGGGACACATCACATGATGTGTGTTTACCCTCAGTGGAGGAACAGTGTTCCCTTCACGTGGACCCACACCCGCATACCTGCCCACAGCACAATGTGCTGCTTCAGCAAAGAACACAGTGCTAACTTCGCATACTAAGGGCAAATTATGAGCCCTGCTGCTGTTTTCTGCTTTTCGACCCCCTTTGATGTCCTCTGGAGTGTGTGCATGAATCAAAGTATTTGAAAGGTCCACGTTGACGACAAACTCAAACAGAGGCTTAATCACACAAATGCTTCTTATCTGTAAGGCTCCTAACCGCAGCAGATAACTGACCTCATTACAAAAACAAACCGAACCCTGAGTGCTCAGAAACCCCCCAATTCCTCCTCCCTCTGTGTCTCCTGTCCTCTTTCCCTCTCCTTTTTTAGACACATGTTTCCACAAAGGCAGTCGGCTTGACCTGATTGAAAATGCTGGGGAGGTCCATGGAGAAGGAGAGGGAGCAGGTGAGCAAAGTGGACACTGCAATGCGATTGTCACCAACACACTCGTGTCCAAAGGAGAGAACATGTACGTAAGCCATAAGGTCCTAGGGGATCAAAGGTCAGAGTTCACAGAGTGATTCTGACATTCAGATCTATACAGTGTGGCGGGTGCTAAGCAACCGTGCAATCCTGAGGACAAGGAAGGGGTTGCATCACTCTGAATATACAATGTAAAATTCAAAACCATTGGCTTTGGGCCTTAATTACGCAACAAGTGTGATAAGAACTCAATAACACAAATTTGTAATATTGGTCCAGTTAGACGAGTAGTTCAGATTTTTTACTTGCCACATTTTCACTTTCACCCTAAACATTATTGGAAAAAAAAAAAACCCTAGAAAAAATAAAAAAATAACCCATAAAATTAATAAAATAATTGTAATATATATTTTATATTTATATTTATATATATAATTTTTTTTAAATTCTTATCTGCATTTATTATATCATATAAAGCAAAATAAAAATGAATTAAAATAAAATTTGCAAAAAATTATAAAATAAAAACAAAATAAAATAAAACGTTTGCTGAAAAACTATGGCATATAGTGCAGATCATCACTAAATGGATTTCTAATATTCATCCTATTATACCTGATAATTCCAAGATGGTCATAAGTTACTCTGGATAACTTTACTCTGAGTAATTTACCATGAGTAAAATTCATGAAACAATAACATTCTAAATAAACGAATGAACAAAAATGAAAGACAAGTTAAATGTTAAAAATATGTGACCAATTAAAGACAGTACTGCTGAAACAAGAGCGTAAATGATAAGGCAAGTGACAGTCCTATGAATTAGACCAACACCCTCTCACACTGGTCCTGGGCCATCGGACCATCCCAATCAGTGCTGGCAGCCTTTGGATTCCATAGTATGGAAAAATTAAATACTACGGATGTCAATGGCTACCAGCATCTGTTTGCTTACCAACATTCTTAAAAATATAATCTTGTGTGCTCAACAGAAGAAAGAAACTCATATACACTTTGAACAACATTAGGGTGAGTAATCTATCCCTCTTTAGCCCTGTGAAAGCTGGAAAACACTGATCTAAACAGTCTCATACCTTTAAATCAAAAAAAAAAAAAAACTTATTTCAAAATCAGTATCAGTAGGTTATTTGAGATAAATTTCAGCATTCTTTTTGTTATATACCAGATTTGATTTTGGACAAGGCAACGTCAAATAATAACACTATTCAAGACGCTTCGGGGACATCAGAAGCCCTGAAATAAAACACTGAACTTCTGCCAGAGAAATGAATAAACTCTGTATTAGGACCAGTGGGTCTGTGAATCCATCTTCAGCCTGTAGTTGGCAAACAATCTTAATTATGTCAGTATACCTTCAGAGAACAGAAGCCACTGTCTTCTCTAAATCAATATGGAGGAAAGGGTTTGGTGTACTTTGACCTAATCATTCTCTAAATCAGTGATTCAACTGCACACAATACGACAGATAATCAGCGCTCATCCTCAACACGTAGAGCTCTCACTCTGTAGCAGTCATTACTGGCGGTTTTGTCTGACCTGTAGTGACTCACTGTGACGTTATGTAAAAAATGTCTGCATCAGTCTAGTTCTCCTTGACTCCCCTCCCTGTTCCATATTTTTCATTTTTGCTCTATTCAACAGAATAATTATCCAGAGTCTCAGGTGAGGCAAAAAGGAGTGCCATTTAAGTATGCGTCAACCACTAGACTCTACCACAAAAAGATAGTCTTTCAAGGGACAGTTCTGTCAAAATAAAAATGCGGTCATCAAATACACTCAATCAAATACACCTACAATGTTGTTACAAACCCAGATGACTTTCTTTTTCCAAAATGGACTGCCAAGGTCCAAAAATGACAAAAAGTATCATAAAAGTAGCTATATGACTTGAGAGCTTTATTTAAAGTCTCCTGAAATCATACATTATCATTTCACTTTGGCAAATTAAATCTTGTATTGCTGATCATTTGATACATTGATGATACATTGATGAACCATTTAGATTCCTATTTTAACATAATTCACTTGTAGCACTAAAAATTATTTTAGTTTTCCATGGTTTCATTTATTTAGAAAAAAAAAAGTTAAAAAATTAACATTTATTGGTAAACTGCAATAACATTGGCTATGATGTAATGGAAGTAGTGACAGATCTTTTCATTTCATGCAGACTTAAAGGGATAGTTCACCCAAAAATGAAAACTACCCCAGGATCTACTCATCCTCAAACCATCCTAGGTGTACATTACTTTCTTCTTTCAGACGAATACAATCGGAGTTATATTAAAAATGTCCTGGCTCTTCCAAGCTTTATAATGGCAGTGAATGGGTGATATTCAATAGTCCAATAGAAGTCCAATAGAGTGTGTCCATCCACAATAAAAAAGCACTCCACATGGCTCTGGGGGTTAATAAAGGCCTCCTGAAGTGAAGCAATGCATTTGTGTAAGAAAAATATCCATATTTAAAACTTTATAAACCATAATCTCTAGCTTCCGCTAACTGCCGTACGCGTGTACACGAGAGAGTGGCATTCAAGAGGATGACGTAGGACGTATTCGTCTGAAAGAAGAAAGATACACCTAGGATGTCCTGAGGGTGAGTAAATCATGGGGTAATTTTCATTTTTGGGTGAACTATCCCTTACAATTTTTTTTCAGCTCTTCATCAACAAATATTGTATGGCTTCAGAAAACTGGTAATATAGTGCAAGAGTTGTATGGTTCACTTTAAAGGTACTTTTATGGTGATTTTGCAACCTTACTGAAGACTGAAAGCTTATTTTGTGCTCATTTTCTGACTACAGTCTATGGTCAGAAAAATGATGCTTTTTGTTATTCTTGTAACTCGACCATTCTCATTTTTATTGTATGGAAAAGAGCAGCTTGAATACTCTATTAAAGGGGTCCTATTATGCTTTTTCACTTTTTGAATTTTAGTCAGTGTGTAGTGTGTATGTTTGGGCATAAAAAAAGAT